TCTTTATCTACTTTTAGGACTTGTGTGAAAATCTGATTAAGTTTTAGGTCAAATTTATGTAGAAATATAGAAAATTATAAAGAGTTCATAAAGCTTCAAGCACCACTGGAACTCCTTCCCACTTGAGTATCTTTAAAAACATTAAGGTGACGCCGTTTATCTGATGGATATTTTTATTTCTGTCTTAAATTCTGCTAACAGGAAGCTGAAGGAAACATGACCATGACCTCACTCACCGTTCACCTCCAGATTTATACATGCTCCGTTAGAAGCTCTTTTTGTGACAGATTTGATGAATTTTCCTCATTTTGCCCCTGATGCTTTGATCAAAGTACCAGTAGACACTTGTAAATGTTTTTACTATCTAATCGTTGAGTATTTACCAGTACTTTTTATCTTTCCCAGGTTGAGGAAAGTGAAAACGAATGGTCAGTCCCGCACTGTTTCACCATTTATTCTGCTCAGAGGACGATCGTTGTGGCTGCCAGGTGAGTGGTGAACTTTTTATTTATTTATACTGAAATTGTCCAATTTTACCTCCATGTTTAAAAACAATCACTATAAAAATAGGCATTTAAAAACATTGTCCATTCATATGGAAAAAAAATGTTTTTGCACATTTTAGTGTTTTGTATAAAACGGGTCATGTTCAGACCATGTGTTCATCTTGGACAGCTCTGATGGACGACGTTCACATGTGGCACAAAAACATTTTGTGAAGAAAGTCAAAGCTGATGAGTTCAACTCTTAAAAACAAGAACAAGGTTCAAGGATTCGAGGTTCTTCATTTGTCATACGCACCACATGTGGTACATGTGGTGGAACAAATCTGTGTACACAGGGTCCCAGTTACATCCAACAAAAATATAAAATGTAAAAGAAAAACAGTAATAACATCTAAGACATGAACTAAGAAAAACATAAACTAAAAATACACTAAGCACTAACGGCAGAAAAACAATAAACAAACAGCAGCACGAACATGAGTCTGTGTGAGCAGATGAGCACGAATGAACACATCAACATGAAACAGATCAGCAGCAACATGAAACAGATCAGCAGCAACATGATATGATTTTTCACAGTGATTATTCTAGTTAGAGATTCATGAGTCTAACAGCCTCAGGGTAGAAGCTGTTCCTCAGTCTAGTGGTTCTACACTTAATGCTCCTCAACCTCCTTCCTGAGGAGAATGGGGCAAAAAGTGTGTGCTGAGTGAGTGGGGTCCTTCATGATGCAGGTGGCCCTCTTCCTGCATCTGGAGGTGTAGATGTATGTGATGGTGGGGAGACTGACTCCAACATCTTCTGTGCAGCCTTCACCACTTTCTACAAGACTTTTCTTTCTGCAGCTGTGCAGCCTCCATGCCACACATTGATGCTGGAGCACAGGATGCTCTCCACTGCACACCTGTAGAAGAAGGTGAGGACTGAGCTTCTCAGACCAGCTCGTCTTTCTTGATCAGGCTGGTGGTGTTGTTGCTCCAGCTCAGGTTGTTGTTCAGGTGCACACCCAGGTACTTGTAGCTGAAGACCACTTCCACCACAGACCCTGTTATGTTCAGCTGGGTGTAGGTGTGTCTGTTTCGTCTGAAGTCCATGATCATCTCCTTCGTCTTCTTCACATTGATGTGATGGTTGTTCTTCCTGCACCAGCTTTCTAGGTGTTCCACCTCCTGCCTGTAGCTGGACTCATCGTTGTTTGTGATGCATCCCACCACTGCTGTATCATCTGCAAACTTTACAATGTGACAGCCTGGATGAGTAGGTGCACAATCATACGTGAGCAGAGTGAACAGGAGGGGGCTCAACATACAGCCCTGAGGAGAGCCAACGTCTTCAGTTGATTGAACAAACGACCAAAAAAGAAACCGTAGCGTCCAGCAATCCACTCTGAACAATGAAATCCCAACAAAAGTCTTTTATTGAGAGGGATTCTTCTAAACCGTTCATTAAAACTTTTAGCTGAAACAAGTGAAAAAGGTTGCATCTTCAGTATATTCTCAGTCACTGTTTAATTTTAAATTTACAGGCAGCTGAGCTGACTTTTTTTGGGTTTTCATACAAAAGGTATAAGATAAAAGGTATTACGGTAGAGTTTCGGTCGTCTGTACATCCTTAATCTTTTGTTTCGTCCATAATTTCTGCTCGGCTCAAGATAATTATAGAAATCTTCATACACATGCGCATCATCACCAGACGGAGTGTCACATTAGCTATGTTTACACGGACATAAGTAATCAGATTAAACGGCCATTCAGAATAAAAATGTGTGGTGTAAATGCCCCATTCGGATTATTTTTTGTTTATTCAGGGTGATCTGAAAGAATTTGTAATCAGAATGAAATGGGTGATTTATGCCGATTCATAATCTGAATGGTGCGCATGTAAACACTTAATCTGTTAATTTTTTTCGGATCGTGAAAAACTGACCTGACTGCGCATGTGAGACCTATGTCATTTCCGCCTGGCTAATGCTAATAATATTAGCATGTTGGGGAAGTAAAACTGGTTGGTGAGCGACAACATTTCTACTAGAAACTTTGAAAGAGCTCAGAATGATCTGTATTATCTGTAGATCAGTCAGGGAGTGCAGTAACGTCTCCACCGTCATTAAAACCTGTCACGGGTCCATTTTGGGCGCTCAGGTTTGTTTATGTTCATCCTGGAAGTAAAACTTCGTCTTCTGTGGTTTATTTAAGGAGAGTTTACCACTCTGCACAAGTCAGTACTTCTGTTCAGAACAAAGTCCGCTGCATGTAAACACTCGTCATGAACGGATTGTGACCATGGAAATGATAAATTTGAATTATTTAATCTGAAAACATTTCAATCCGGTCAAAGAGTTTTGTGCATGTAAACATAGCTATTAAACATCACTCCAGCTTCAAGGTCAAGTTCACAAATCAAGGTCAAACTTATAAAAGCTCTTTACTCATCCAAGCCTTTGCCATCGATTGCTGTTCAACAGTTTGTCGACAATCGTTTAATGTACCGTACGTTGTTTTTTTACTCAGATGTGTAAAAGTTTGCTGCTTGTGTGGCTCACGTCAGCTCAGCAGGTCTTTTATGGAGGCTCAGGACAGATTGTCCTGGGGAGGCTGTGGTTCAGTGGTTCAGCAGCCAAGGGATTGGAAAGTCCCAGGTTTGATTCATATGCTCTGGTGTCCATGAGCAAGAAATCTGTTCCCTAATTGTTTTCTGGGAGCTTAAATAGCTGACGGCTGGTCCACTTGAGTGTTTCTCTCAAGTGATGGGTCAAACGTGGAGGACAAATGTCATACATGACACGTTTGTAATGTCCACACTAATAAACATGAGCAGATAAAAGGGGTCAAGTCAACTCTCTTTATAAAGCACATTTATAATCGCAGCGGTCACCAAAGTGCTTAACAATAATAATCAATGGGAGTAATTGAATGAAAAAATAAAAATATTGATTGTACTGAAAATTAATGAAAAGGGGTGAACGTTGGCTCCAGGTGTGAACAGGATCATTTGTCATGTCCCAATAAAGTCCAGTTTGGCTTAGCTTAGTGCAATGCACAGAAAAATGTGGCAGATGGAACTTTTCATTTTAAATTGTGGCCCATGCTTTTATTTTGAGTGAAGCCAATCCATCAGCACTGGAAAAAGAAAGTCAAACTTCATCTCTTTCTCAAGTTCTGCTGTGAACAGTTAGAAAGATACAAGCGGACACCATGTTGTTTTTTCTGTTAGTCTGGTGACACCCCACCCCACCCCCACACACACACAATAAAAAAACTGTTGTGTATCATTTTAAGATGCCAGCCTACAAGGCGACGTTGCAATCCTTCAACAAAATCTTCTTTCTTTTTCTTTTGTGTGCGCTTCAGCTCCAAGATGGAGATGGGGAAGTGGATCGAGGATCTGAACATGGCCATCGACTTGGCCAAGAAGTCTCAAGAGAAGTCCAGCATTTTCCTTGACACTGGCCTCACTGACCACTCCAACCGTAAGAAGTGTCCACTTACATGTTTTAAATTTTAATGACGTTTTTGTGTTTCCTCTGACTCTTTGGTTTCCCTCAGTCAAAAGACAGTTCCCTGAGTCACCAACAAGTTGACTGTAAAGTTAATCCTTCTGCTCCTTACAACTCCCTGCCCTCCCTCCTCCTCCTCCAGGATCATCTGATGAGGTTTCTCTAGGGCAGGAGTCAGAGGATGACATGAACTCCTCTCGCACGTCACTGGATAAGCAGACGCACCATCGTGCCAACACAACCATGCATGTGTGCTGGCACCGCAACACCAGTGTGTCTATGTCTGATCACAGCCAGGCTGTGGAGGTACTCCTCCTTCGCCTCAGTGACCCACACACACCTCTACATAATCAAACTCACGTGCTCATTTCACGCTTGTGAAGATCAAAGCAGCCTGGAAGTTCTCCTCTAGTTGTTTTTAATGCTCCTGTTTTCTTCATCGTCTGACTGAAGTGTGTCCTGCTTATTATTTCCATAAACGTGCATGCAAGACGACCTTCTCTAACAGAGATGTTTCATCCTGCAGCCTGGAGGACTTGTCTAACTCTTCATTGTTCCCTTTCTGTTTCCTCTAAGCCAACATGCTAACAGTTTCTCTGCGCACGTTCTTCCTTTTCTCTCTCTCGCTCCCAGTCTTCAGCTCTCCAGCCGTCTCGCCTGAGCTTCCTCCTCGTTACCTTCTTGGTCAGGGACAAAGACCAAACACCATCACACATGTTTGCTGGTACCGAAACCAGAACCTTTCTCTCACTGATTACCTGCGCATGAACCAGGTACTGGAGCCAGGGCACGTTACGGCTCAGTTAAATGTCAACAGAGAACAGCTGACAGTTCTGCTGCATGAACTGTAAATAAAAGCAGAAGTGATTGTGTCACAATGATTTAAACTCTATATTCTTGGTGTAAAACAGTGACTCAGGACTGAACCAACTCAGTGACAGAAATATGCAATAAAAGGAGTAAAGGCAGGGGCAGCAAACAACTCCAGCTCCAAATTAATATAAACCTCGAATCAGTGTTGTAGTACTCGAGACTGGTCTTGGTCTTGAGACTGGTCATGAGACCACTTTTTCATGGTCTCAGTCTTGGTCTCAACTTGGTCTCGGACCCTAAAAGTCTTGGTCTTGTCTTGGTACACTCTGGTCTTGGTCTTGACTTGGTCTCGAGTTAGGTGATCTTGACGACAACACTGCCTCGAATTCCTTGAAGGAAACCCGTCAAGCTAAAATGATCTTATATTAAGAAATGCTGTAGTTAAAGTTGTTTTGGTCCAACAACGTTCAGCTCTATTTCATGTGATTTTTAAGAGGGCTCATGAGATGTGTATAGAGCGACTCTCAGCTACTACCTCACCAAATTTTAGCTCAAACATAGTATGGAGAAACACCTGGAAACAGAGTTACAGAACAGCTACTGACACGTTGAAATGCACTTAATGCAGATAGATTAATTTAGAAGGAAATACAGACCCTTTCCAAAAAAATAGAATATCATGGAAAAGTTGTTTAACTTCCATAATTCCATTAAAAAAGTTAATCTGTAATAGATGATAGATTCAGGACTCGCAATTTAAACGATTTCAAGTATTTGTTTATTTTTACATCATTTGGGCTTCCAGCTCATGAAACCCATGAAAACAGGATTTCAAAAAATTTGAATACTGAAATCAGCCCACACTACTTCTCAGTTTTTGCAGAAAAAAAGAAAGCGATTAGGATCACAACAAATCAATCAAAATATGGTATTTTCAAAATGATATGTTAATCTTCAATACTTGGTTGGGAATCCCTTTGCCTTAATCACTGCCTCGATGTGACGTGGCATTGAGACAATCAGTCTGTGGCATTGCCTGGGAGTTATGGACGCCCAGATTTCCTTGATGCTTGCTGTCAATTCTTCTTTGTTGTTGGGTCTGGTGCCCCTCCCTCATTTTCTTCTTGAGAATACCCCATAGATTCTCAATGGGGTTTAGGTTTGGAGAGTTGGCTAGTCAGTCAAGCAAAATGGACTGTACTTATATAGCACCTTTCTATCTTATTTCAAGATACTCAAAGCGCTTTACACTACAATCTGTGTCCTCGATCATTTACCCATTCATACAGCACTCTACTAGATCTCTGCAAAGCTAATTCAACAAATTATTCTGAAGAGACTAATCAGAGTTCTATTTCATCCCTCCTGACCGCCAGAGGGCGGTGCTGAAAGCACTGAATGTTCCCTTCGCGCATGCGCTGTTCGAGTAATAATACCAACGGAGTCACAGGTGTGACACGGATGGCCAATCAGAGGCTATATAGCCAGACGTCATCCGCAGCTCTACTCCTTTTTTCTTCTCGCGCGCGGTTCAATTCAGGGCTTCAGCCCTTTGGACCTTTTCTGAACTTTTTACCGTCGTCGAAAGCCCGACTGCCCGTCTGCGGGAGTAGCGTGTTCGCCCTCCTAGGGCTGCGACAGTTTAACCCTGTTCAAAGGTATTTTCTGCTGATTCGTTGGGGACTACGGCGGTTTCCGCCTGTCCCAACTTACAGCGTCTGACTACTATGTGTGTGATTCAACACTGGTGAGTAGTGGTTTTTTGCTTATATTTTGCTATTGGTTAGCGGTAGCGTTCGCTCCGCCCCTGTTTACTGGAGGCCTCCAACCGCGTGGTCAGTTGGACTGTGCTCCGAAGTTTGCTTATTAAGTAGCCAGCTGAGTTCCTGGCCTTGTTTTAATTGGTGAAGGCGAGCGTTTTCACCCCCTCTCCCAATTGTCCTCTCTTACCAGCTGAGCTAGCGGTGCTAGCCTCTCTGAGTTTTGGCCTTGTTTTGATTGGTGAAGGCGAGCGTTTGCGCCCCCTCTCCCAATTGTCCTCTTTACCAGCTGAGCTAGCGGTGTTAACCTTTCTGAGTTTCTTGCCGTAATTTTTTCGTCCTATATCTTGGACATAGCTGGGTAAGGAGCATGGACAGCTCTCACTGCTGTACAGTCTGTGGAGCCATGCTCCAGACAGATGACAGTCATGACCTGTGTCCTGCCTGCCTTGGATGTGACCATCTGGCAGAGGCACTGTCAAAAAACCCCTGCATGAATTGCAGCTTCATGTCGCATGCTGTGAGGGTGGCCCGGCTGACCCAGTTTCGCCCCAAACTCGGCAATGACCTCCTGCCTTCTGGGCAGGAGGCTCCACCTAGGCGCTCGAAGCGCCGGACTGAGGCCGCAGTCTCTGTGGCCGCTCCTGGGAAGAAGTGAGCCAGGTCTGATAGGGGCCTCTCCACAAGGGTGGAGCAGCTCTCCGCTGAATTAGCAGAGAGGAAGTCCCTTTTTCAGGTACACCAACTGGGAACTGAACCAGTGGCTGCGACCGGACTCTCCTCCCCACCCATGCCTGAACTGGCTGTGGAAGAAGATGTGCTATCCTTGGCTGCCTCTGCCTCTCACGTTTTAGGTGAGGAGGATGGGCATTCATCTCAAGTCTCAGAGACAGCTTCACTTTCTTCTTCTCGGAGCGCAGTTAGTGGGTCGGGTGACGGCTCGATGTAGGACGTCATGCGTACGGCCCTGAGACAACTGCAGCTGGACGTCCCGCAACCAGGGGTGTCCACCCCTGGAAGTGCCTTCTTCAGGTGCGGACTGACCCCTCCTTCCTTTTCTGTCCCTCAATCAGAGGAGTTCCTGAGGGAGTTGCATGGTTGCTGGTGGGACCCCAAAGCCTTTGCGCGCCTCTCCGCAGGTGGCCGAGTGTTGGCGGCCATGCATGAGCCGGCTGCAGCAGGCTTGGATCGCATGCCAGCGATAGAACCTGCTGTTGCCTCTCTCATTGTGTCACCAGAGGAAGCTCTGCGCAGTCATGTTCGGTGCCCACAAGCTCAGTGTCGTGTCACGGATGAATTCCTCTGCAGAGCCTATGCCGCCAGAGCGCGTGCTGGCCTGGCCGCTTGGGTAATTCCTTGGCACACCTCATGCTTGCCCTCTCCGCATCCCTTTAGGGGACTAGTGGTGCGACAGCAGCAATGGGCTTTAGCGATGCAGCGCTTCAGGCCTTTGCATTAATGACGAGGGAACTTGGGTGCGTGATGTCCTCCTTGGTCCAGGCTCGCCGACAGGTCTGGTTGATGCAGTCAGCATTGACTGAGCCATGCCGTAGAACCCACCGTAATGTCCCAGTGGTGCCCGGGGAGTTGTCCGGTTCGGCTGCCTTGGAAGCGCTGGAATGGACTGTCCAGGCATGACAGTGAAGACAGCAATTTTCAAGCCTTAGCAGGGCAATGCCCCCTCCATCTCCTCGGCATCCAAGGCGCCCGTCGGCTGACTCCAGCATGCAGCCGCCGCCTGGGGGTCATAACCGGCCGGGTGGTCCTTACCCTCATGCGGTTCAGCAGAAGCCCAGCAGGAGCTTTCGTGGGTCGGTCCACCGACTAGCTGGGCAGGTTCGGACCAGGGACTCTGGCTGCCGCCCCCCACGGCGAGGAAGACTGTGATGCCATCAGGCCGACCGTCGGATATTTCTCCCACAAGCAGCTCAGCTACTGGTCTGCTCACGTCGTGGACCCATGGGTGGTTGCCACTCTGACCCATGGTTACCGGCTACAGTTCTGACGGCGGCCTCACATCTCACGCCGGGTCAAGATGACTGTAATCGCCGACCCGGTGAAAGCTCGAGCACTAGACCAGGAACTTTCCGCCCTCCTGGCCAAGGGCGCAATAGAGGCAGTGGACCCTCTGCAACAACCCAGGGGCTATAACTCAACTTACTTCCTCGTGCAAAAGAAGACGGGTGGGTTTCGTCCCATTTTAGACCTGAGGGGACTCAACCAGTACCTAAGGGGGCTGCCCTTCCACATGCTCACGACAGCAGAAGTCCTTCAAGCTGTCATAAGGGAAGAATGGTTCACGTCTGTAGACCTGAAGGATGCATATTTTCATGTGCCTATTGCGGCAGAACATCGCTGCTTTCTCAGGTTTGCCTATCGGGGTCACCACTGGCAGTTCCGGGTACTCCCATTTGGGCTCTCTCTCTCCCCGAGGGTGTTCACTTGGTGTGTGAAGGCAGCCCTCTCTCCTCTGCAGACCTGCGGAGTGAAGATTCTGCCGTACTTAGACGATTGCACCCCGTCTCAGGCCTGTGCCTTTCACAACACAAACCTCCTGCTCGCTCATATGTCCCAGTTGGGCCTCAATGTCAACCTGGAGAAGAGCTGCCTGATCCCTTCCCAGACAACCACTTTCCTTGGGGTGGTTCTGGATTCATCTTCCATGAGAGCTCAACCATCTGCTCAAAGGGTGGTCGGCATACTCCAGCTGGTCAGTCGGTTCAGGCTGGGCAGGCAGCTCCCCTATGTTGCCTTCCTTCAACTACTCGGCAAGCTGACATCAGTCACTCGGGTGGTGCCCTTAGGCCTGCTGTCAATTCGCCCCTTGCAGAGGTGGCTCAACAGCTTTCGCCTAGTAGCCAGGCTGCACAGGCATCGCAAGTTCGCAGTGACATGGTCATGTCTTTATGCCTTGACTCCATGGAGGGACGAAGATTATTTGTCCAGGAATGTCCCCATGGTAGTGGTAGTGTGTTGCAGGGAAGTGGTCACGACAGATGCCAGCTCCATGGAATGGGGGGCTGTGTGGAAACGCAGAGCGGTTCAGGGCTGCTGGGGTCAAAGGGACCACTCCAAGCATATAAATGTGCTGGAGCTGCGTGCAGTGCACTTGGCACTCAGGCACTTCCTGCCTCACCTGGAAGGGAGGTATGTTTTTGTTCCGTCAGACAACACCTCTGTTGTCTACCACATCAACCATC